TTATTGGAACGATTAGGATCTTATATGGTTTTTTTTTTTAATTTTCTTAAAAGATCCATGATTTAAGCTCATAAACTTTTTTTGCAGGATTCTGTGATTCATGGAGTCATCCCCTGTTAAGTCACCCATCCCATGTCATATGCTGTGTGGGAAAAATTCACGGACGCTGAAGTGATGACTCGAGTTGTGGTCCGCTTCATTATTGCACCATAAGCCTATAGAGTCCTCTTTTTAAGTAAATGCTCAGATGAGAAAAAAACATTGTTTTTCGTCACCAGATATATTAGTTGTCGTAGAACAAATTATTCGGGTTTATTTAGTTATTCGGCGAGATCTGTGGATGCACGTAATATACATTGGATATAGGTCAGTTCTGTCTGTTATTTAGATCCATATGATACTCTTAGATCACTACAATTAATTTATTGAGACTCTTCTGTTGGTCACGTATTAGTGTAGTATGCTCTCAGTTCTGTTAGTTTGTTATGTTTTTAGACCCGTATTTTGCTCTTAGATCTCTCAAGCTAATTTCTTTACACCCCTCTGTTACTTAATACATCTTGATTATTGATAGGTCTTGATTAACATTGACAGGTCAGTGGGTGTGTCTCTGTCTTTATGACTTTACATTGATTATTGATAGGTCTTGATTACGGTTTACTAGGTCCCAAAGCTGGCGGTGTGGCAGCCATTGTAGACGAGCTTCCTTACATAGAAGTCCTCTTGACAAACAGCAACTGCAAGTTCCGTACAGTAGGACAAGAGTTAACACGCACAGGCTGGGGTTTCTCATTCCAGAGAGACTCCCCTTTAGCTGTAGACATGTCGGTGGCTATCTTGCAGCTGTATTAAGAAGGGGAGCTCGAGAAAATCCACAGAAAATGGCTTAACTACAAGCATGAATGCTCGATGCAGATCTCGAACAGCGAGAACTCTCAGCTTTCACTCAAGAGTTTCTAGGGGCTCTTCCTAATCTGTGACATCACTTGCTTCATAGCACTAACTGTCGTCTTATGGAGGGTGTTCTGGCAGTACCAGAGGTTATTACCAGATACTGGGGATGAGGAAAGGGCAAGTGAAGTGACAGAGCCTTCTAGATCATGGAGATGTTTACGAGCACCGAGTTTCAATGATTTGGTGAAGATTGTGGATAAGAGGGAAGCAGAGATCAGCGAGGTACTGAAATAGAAGAGTAGCAAGAAACTAAGAAGTAGCCAAAGTGGAGCTGGGAGTTCACATTCACAACATAGCAAAATTCCTTAAAACAGAGAGAGAGAGTTTAATAATTTGTTTTAACATAATACTTAGGGGGTAGATAAAATTATCAACAGGATTTTGTAATAGCAAAGTTCAAGGAAATTAAAAAAAAAAAACAGAGACAAAATGTTATCTTATTCTGATAACCAATAAAAGCTCGTCTTGATTCACCTCATCAGAGTTTATATTTCAGATAGAATCTTGCAAATGATGAACATAGTTATCAGAAATGAGACTGAAATGGAACTCCTAAGTATCAAATTTTATTGGCAAAACAAGAGGATATCGTTGATACACGTTGAAAAGAAACTTAAACTCAGAGTCTTGGCAATTACATACACTCGGTTGAAAATTTTGAAGGAAAACAAAAAGAGTGATGCTTTACAGGAGTTTTGCTTCTCTCTTTGGAGGTTCCAGGTCGAGGTATGTGAATGACTTGGTTCCTCTCTGAAAAAAAACAAGATGAATGGTTCAGACTCTACATGAGGACGAGAATAAATGCTTAAAGATCTATACTTTATGAATAAAAAAAAAAATAAACTAGTTTTATCAATAGTAGCAGGTAGTGCGAAGCAGAACAATAAAGAATCATGAACTCATTAACTATAAAAACCAAACGTTCTGCAGCCTATTATTATTATAAAGAACACCTTGATGGTGAAAGAGTAAGGAAATGCACATATACCCTGGCTTAGAGCGCATGCATCGGTAGAATAGTTTAAAAGGTCCTGGAACCGCCGTAAATGGGTTCCCCTCGAAAAACGCCTGCAAATTTTTTTACTAAATGCTATAACATAAACATAGACAGATCATAAAGAGTGCCAATGTATGAAAATTGCAATAACATACAGAAATAAAGTTTGTGGTTGTGCCCTAGGTGCAACTTTCATGATCAATCTAAAAATACAGAAATCCCACACATTTTTTGTTTAAAAAAAAAAAAATCTCAAGTCAAACTTTGGTACTAGCAAATAAATTAGAAAGCAACTGTGTGTCAAATAAAAAATCATCTTCGTTCATATAAGGAGAGCAAGATGTAGATAGAGAGAGATAAAAGATCATACGTAGACACGGTTTTCATAAGACATAACAACATAGTCTGCACCATTAATCAATTCCAATTCTGTTTCATTGTTTCAGCTTTAGAAGAAGATGATGAATGATTACAAAGTTATTCCTAATCCCTACCATCAAGCTAGGTAACCAATCCTTTATATATACATTATCTTTCTAAATTGATAAATTCTTAACCAGTGAAAACGATTTTTCCTTTACAGGAACATCGAAAATCAGATCATGTCGTCTCGAAGCTCGAAGATAAGAAAAACTATAAGGTTTTCCCTATCGATGCTGTATTTTTTGAAAAAACAACTTAAACTTTTATTTTATTAAATTTAAACATCCCCTATATATTAATTGAGAAACATTTGAAAAGATGTAACCTCAAGTTTGTATTAATTAAAAAGTAACCTTGCTTAGTTGTCAATCAATTAGCATATCAATTAATCTGACGTGGCGGCTTTAGGTTCAATTGAAATTTGCTAGGGAAAAATAATTAGAGACGCATATAACGCATGTAACATAGTTTATATATTTATATATATCGCACACATGTAATGGAAGAAAAAAGAAAATATACGATTTGATAACGATTTGCATATATTAACTATAATAACTTCATTCCTTTTAATTTATGGAAGTGTATATGTAAAATGGAAAATACTTAAATTCAAATAATCATAACGTAATTTATAAATCATTGGTGTAAAGTTTTGTTACACAAATATGCAAATAATCATAAAATCATATGAGTAGAAACCTCA